TAGGAGTGTAAATCACCAGCTTTATCACGACACAATATTATATTGATTTGTTTGGATGACAATATGATGTTTCTTGATATYGCAAAGTCTGTCATGATGCAGTTTTGATTGATTCAAATCGATATGTGATATTTGCTCATCTAAAGAAATCATTTAGTAATACTATACATGTATGATGACGATATAGATCAATGTTTTTGTTTGGCCTTGATATAATCCTCCCTCGACAATCATCGATGTGGATCGATGTATTGTTACACCCCTACTCAGGACCCATACCAATACACTGATACTAGATACTGATACTGATGYTTCATTCAATGTGTTTCAGTTTGTGTTTTAGGTGAAAAGTTTGTCAGCTCCATGTTTAAGAAGTTGAAAGAAAAACTTTATTGTTCTTTTTAAAGATAGAAACCAAATACAAATACTTCAGTTTGGGTACTTGTTTGACACCGAGTACCCAAACTGAAATATTTGTATTTCATGTGAGGAAAAACTACTATTGAGTCACCCCCCAAAAAATATATCTTTCTGTTTTAGCTCCTAATTGTTCAAAAACAGGGTTAGTGTTTAATGTTTATGTGTATCTAATAATCCCTCCCCTGGTGTTGGTCAGTCTGTGTTCCTGCCCTCACCYAYATGGTCACAAACTTCAGGTAGTGACTGAAAGGACAAGACTGTGGATACGAGTGGTTGAAATAAGTTTTCTCCAGTGTAGCTGGAGTCTGGCTTAGAGATTGGATGAGAAGTTCGTCCACCTGGGAGAGACTCAGAGTAGGACCGATGCATGGAGGTTTGACTAAAAGGAGAACCCAAGGAAGAACTAGAACACTCTAGAGAGACTGTATCCCTGTTTGGCCTGGGAACGCTTTAGAGTTCTCTCAGAAAYGCTGAAAGARAGGTCTGTGGAAAGCCAGGTCTGAGCCTCCCTGCTCAAGCTGCCCCCACGACCCGACTCTGGAACAAGTGGAAGATCATGGAGGGGTAGTTCAGATGATGCTCAAGAGCTTTGAGTAAATATAAACACACACTAAGCAAAAGCTWRAGACTSGAGAGGATAAATCAGWCTGGCCAAGGGAGGCCACAGTTTTAGTGGTCCTCCCTGTCCTMCTAGGTGGCACCTCAGGATATTGACATTTTTACCAAATTATCAGCGTAAAAACAGATTGTTAAYCTGATTAATTGAACTAATCTACAGTCTCTGCCATATTTTGCCCTACAGTTGTCTATCAACCTTCTAATTATTTCATGTGAAAGGATTCGGCAATAAATAAAGACACGAGTGAAKCAAATAGAAGAACATACTTTAATACTTATCGAGGTTCAAGTATGAGCCAATGTGTCTTTTATATTTTCATTTTAAAAAGAAAAGATATTTGTAAATGTAATTTTATTTTTACAGCTCTCTTGTTCCATCGAGCTTCATCTGTCATGACTCTTTTAGCTCATGTTTGACTCGACATCTATGAAGTGCTCGGGTCCAGAGACATCGAAACCAACCATCAGCCCTCCTCTAACCGCAGGGCTGAGGCCTCTGCACCGACRTGCAGCACTCTGCTCCGGTTGTCACCTGTCCAAAGTGAAGCTGGGCTGCCATGTTTGGGACTTTTCATGGAGAAAAGTTTATCTGTGGGCATCCCTTCCAAACATGTCATACAGGCTGAGTCTTTTTCCTGCTGCGGTGTGATAGCTTTAATATTTCATCTGTGGGCTGCAGCGTCTCTGATATACCTCGTGTATCTTATGACCCAAAAAATATCCATGGCAAAAACTTGTGACCCCAAATATTACTGGTCTGAGTACACGAACTTTGTTATTAACCCTAAAAACACAGGCTTTTTGACAATCGAATCAGCTTGTACACAAATACAAATACTTATTTATAATTTTTTTGTGTTTTTGTAATAGTTATAGGGAAAATATTACATTAGAAATTATTTTTTTACCCTTTAAATTGATTTCTGGAGATTATCCAAGGTGCTTCATGACCCATAATTGGGTCCCAAGCCCAACTTTGGGAACCAAAGTTCAGTGGTTCCCAAACTTTTCAGCTTTTGACCCACAAAATAACAGTAGCAGAGACCTGTGCCCTCAAATATTTTTGGATGATAAACATTTGTATCAGGTCAACTAAACATGGGCATAGTAACAATATTTTTATACTACATTTATCCATTTTAAATACACTAACCTCACTCCTTTGTAACAACTAAGGCAAAAATGTAATTAATTCTGAAAATCTTTTCAGGACCCCACCTTGATGTTTTGGGACCCCACTTTGTGTCCCGAACCCAACTTTGGGAAACACTGATCAAGACCACTTGTGTCAAACACAAAGCTTGCAGGCCAAATGTGGCTCGTTATGGCATCTTATGTGAGAGATCAAAGAGAGCTTTAAATGTCTTAGAAAATGTTAATATCCCTAAAATAAATGCACGCTGCTTAAAAGCCTGCACTGACCAGAAACAACGTCTCCCACAATGCATGTTGATCTTACCTGCAAACTGATGGCATCCCACTAGGTGGAGTTGCACAGGGTTCAAAAGTAGCCGCGAAATTTGCTGTGAAAATTTTCTATTTTCGCTGCGTTTTCCCGGCTGATTTTACTGTGACCTTGTTGGACCGGGAAGTGGGAATTTCTCTCTTGCAAGTCGTAAATTTGAACTGGAACACCCCTCTAGCAGGAACTCTCTGACAGAAAGTGGGAGAGTTCAGAATTCAAGACAGCAGCTACTCACCACAACTTAACAGTGAGTAAAACTCTCAGTATTTCTCTTTTACTTATTTCACATTTAGTACACATAGTAATTTCCAGTGTTTATAAAAGGATGAGTTAAAATATTGTTTCCCTGTAGGAAATACCACATAGAGCTCAGTTATTGTTTGTTAGCGGGGCTCAGTCGTAGGATGGGATCGAAATTCATCAAAGTTATTTACAAATGGCCCTTTGAGGGCCACTGCAATGCTCATGTGGTTCTCAATGAAAACTAATCTGACTTACTGTACATGGATTACTATGGAAGCTCATTTCCGCCACCCTGATAAAAAATAAAACTTGTATCTCATAATTATGACTTAGCTATCTCATTAGGAGATACTGTCTCATAATTATGAGATAGCTAAGTCATAATTATGAGGTACAATTTTTATTTTTTTTAACGGGGTGGCGGAAATGGGCTTCCAAAGTTTAGAGCAGCCACACAATACTGAATCATCAGTTGAATAAATTTTAAATTTAAATCTTGTGGAAACTCCAATGATCAGCTCTTTTGGACGGTCCTCTGAGGTACATCTGTTTTTTTTTCTTCCAGTTTTGTGAAACACTTACCTGACCCACTCTCTAATGTATGTTTGTGACTAAATCTTCTTGAACTCTTTCATCGTTTCCTCCTGGAAATCTGTGAAACAAACAAAAAACATATAACCTGCCTCTTTTCACCTTGGACTTAATTGCTGCTATTCACATTTACCTGTTTTTTTAAATAAATAAACCTTTTTTCTTGCTGTGTTCATAGGAGTCTAATATTGTGACACTTGAAAACTGTGTAAAACCACCAAAATGAAACCATTTAAGCATAAATATGGAAAAGACTAATTTTAGTAATAATAAATAACATGATGCGTCCACACATGATCTTATATCAAATGAGAATAGCAACTTTTTATTTTTATTTTATTTTTTTTAACCACAGCACATTTAAACTCCTTCAGGCAAACTAGCAGAATAAGAAGCTTTTTAACAGTGACTAGTGTTATGGGCTGATTTTCAGCAGGGTTTGACCATAGTGCTGTGTTCAAT